TTGAGTCGAAAAAATTATATAAACATTTGGATTCAATATTCCGGATATGAATTGGATATGAGTTTTGTCGCAAACAAGGAAAACAGAGTTTCGATAATTAATACGAAAAATATTAATAAATATATATATCTTGACACTAAAAATAGTTTCGTATAAATGAAAACATATTACATTTGGTGTTACGTGGAAAATTGCTCGTAAAACTAAAGTATATATGATATTTTGTAAAATTAATGTCTCTCTTAACGCATCAGACAAATAAATTGTGTGCTATTTTGCAAACACCAAAAATCTCTCTCAAAATCGATACCACATTATAAAACACACTATACTTTCATTGAGTCAATGGTTGGCTTAAAAATTTTCGGTGAATACTGTTTTCGCCGACACTTTTGGACCACTTTTGTCGCTATATATGTCGCGTGTCTTTAGTCTCACTCATGAGGACAGACACATAGACAGGAGGACTGGCATAACAATAGGCACTGCGATGACTGAGCACTGGATGCACTGAAGTGTACGCTAAATAATATTTGTCTGATAACTGGTTTGTCTTTAGGATCTATCTTTCTGTACTCATGTGTTATGTAATCGTAAAACTTGTTTGTGATCACAGTTTTATGTATATATAGAGTATGTATATGCAGAGGGGGTACTCACTATAAATACCATTCACCCCTGTGTTATATTAAGTTAATGTAAATACAGTAGAATACTCGCCCACTCGCCCCGGGAGGTCTACGGGTGTCTGAAAAATAATGCAAATATTTTCCCACAGAGATGAGAGAGAGAGAGAGAGAGAGAGATCCAAGTACTTCAATCAAGTGTCTTAAGAAATAAGACTTATTTGTAAAAGTTTTTAATGTTTTAATAACTTTTGAATACCCCTTTCGATGGTTCCCAGAGCATACATACCATTCCTCCTAAAAAGCCCCCAAACCTCGATTGGCGAATACATTGAGTGTGTTGTGAAGTATTCAAACAATTTGTGAAACTTTTCATATTATATGTGTATGTCTTATGTCATACTCTAATAGTCTTTTCGCATATCATGTCATTTGTGAGACTCTATTCACTGCACTATTTATACGACAAAAAAGAGTTTTTTATTTTCATACCTAATTTGACAACACTTTCGAAGCAATCGTTTCCATTAATTCCTATTTATTTCTCTTAATTGTTAAAAGTTTATAAACCTATTGATATGAATTGATATAAATTTATAATGTATAGTAAATAACTAGATAACGTATTGAATTAAAACAAATCTTTAAATTTTATTGTTATTTAAAGACGTCGTGCACTCAACTAAGTGTTGATATTCTGTGCGAACGTCTGTAAAACAAATACAAAACTTAAAATAACAAAACAATACAATTATTTTTAAAAATACAATTTTTTGAGATTCTTTTCAAAAGTTTTATTTATTGAGATTTTAATACTTGAATCTAATAAGTGATAAATATTAGCCGTGATAGATTGCGTTATCGTAACCAAAAGCACCCTGTTCACTCCTTTATAGCCTTGTAAGCTTTGGACTAAATGATAATTTTAAAAATTAATTATATAGAGTATATGCCAGAAGTATTAATTAAGAATTTAAATATATTATTCAAGCTACTTACGATTAGCCAGGCCACAAGACCTACAACACCTACAACAACAACTACAGCTAGAGTGCCACCAATAATGCCACCAATAACCATAACCACTTTGGGACTATGAATAGACAGGCTGAAAATGGTGCCCCCGACTACAGTGCTAACAACTGCTGCGCCACCACCACCTTCGGTACCCTCGTTTGCGTCGACACCTCCCGCGCCCTTATAGATGGGGATTTCCTTCTTAAAATTCACATACGTAACGTTAAATTCAGGTTCTTCGGACCTAGGTGGCATCTTATATATGGTGGCATAATAATAACATGGTCAAAATCAGAATTAATAGTATGCACTCTGGTATACATTTGCATAATAATCTTATGAATTGTTATAAGGGAGTATATTTTTAAAATTTTAAGTTTTGCCAAAGTATTGGTTATATTTATCGCCTTGATCATTAAGTAATAATAATGAAGTTCTAACATACCTTGCCGGAAATAATCCTGGTTTATTTGGGCAAATTATGTAGATGCGATTGTTGCAGAATTATCATCAATGTGAATATGAAATTAGAAAACAATGTTTATATTATTTTGTACGAAAGTGTTACTTGCCACATTTAAAGTTTATTAGAATTTTATTTATAATTGTAAATTGTTAATAATATAAATTTTAACTCAAATGTCAAAATTGAACATTACCTCGCTTAAGTCAGAAATGAGATTAATATTTTGGAAACGAAAACTTTTAATATATAGATATTAAACGTCTAGACATCAAACGAACGAACGTCCGAGAATAGTTGGCTCGAGCATAACCGACCAAGGTCCTGTAATAACTTTAACTACGATTGGCTGCATGTTTGAGATATATAGTTAATATAGTGGGGATGTGTGGGTGTAAAGGGCTAACCTATGAAATCTGTTTATAAGCAATAAATATAAATGAGCATAAATGGGAATTCCCCTCGTAAACAAATTCTTGACTATATTACTAATGCATGGTAACTGTTTTTTAAAAATACTTTACTACAGAATAATACTTTTAAAATATATTAATTGCATTTCCAATCTCATAAAACCCAGCCAAATAAATTCAAATTACAAACAACTATTAATTAGGAAAATGATTGGTATTTATTTATTTGATTTAATTGTATCAACGAATTGGAAATAATGTGGCAATAATCGTGTCCAGCAATTATTGCTACGGAATATATTTATATCATTCACTTATTATTATACACATTGTCATCAATTATTACAATATTAGAAATTTAATCATAAAATTCTAGAAACTTATACTTAATTATTAGACATTATTAATAATGTGATATAAAAAATAAAAATATGTTCACATTATATAATGGCATTTCTTATATATAATTCATATTAAATATATAAATGTTTTACAATTAATGAGAGAGAAATCCAAATGAATTCATAATGAATACACAATTCACTACACATTTCTATGGGATTTGTGTGGTGTCTGCGCTCACCGGCGGCTCAAACTCGAGAAATGCGTTCTCAGTAGTGGTCCGCAACTGTAGGCTCGGGTGCAGCGGCCGGCTCTACGGGTCCTATGCGGGCGGCGACGCCTACTGGCCCTTAGCGCCGACTGATAATCGGGGAACGACACGATCTCATTCATCAGCTCCTTGAGAATGGTGTGTAATGTAGGCAAATACAGCGCTATGTTCGCCAGCCAGCGCTCCAGCATCTCGAACGGAGGCCTGGAATGCGAGTGAGAGAGTGGACAGGTATTAGTGGTGCAGGCATTGAGTAGCGATAGGCATACCTGTCCTCGGCGTCCACTTCGGTGCACAGGAATGCTATGCGAAAGAAGAACTCCGGACACGACTCACAGAACTTCTCTTTAAACACGATTTTGTTGACCATTAGTGCGAGTTGCGGGACAAGTAGTCAGCCTCAGGGTCAGCCAACACGCGATGACTGCCCACCCGATGAGTGCATCGGGAGGTGAGGTAACGAAGCGTTGCGATCCCTGGGCTTCACCACCGATGGCGGCGACGGTGGTGCTGGCGATTGGCCGCCGCTGTCATCGCTGTCCACGTCCGACACACTCCCGGCGCTCCCGTTGACGGCCATCGCGATGCCGCGGGAGGTGTGGCCGGGCGTGTAGTAGCCGTTGGGTTGGGCGCGAGGGGTGGGCGACGACACAGTGTTAGCCCTCCAGAGGTGGTGGCCGTCAGCGCCGACAACCGGTGCGACCGCTGAGGCCGTGGCGTCCGCTTTGGGGTCGTTGGCCAGCGATGAGTGTAATGTCTTGAGGTGGTGGCGATTGGTGATGTGGACAGTCGTGCAATAGGTGTGTTTGCGCGCATATGAGGGGTACGGTATGTCTCTGTTGTTGTTGTTATTACTAGTCATGTGGTGGACGTACTTTATTGAGCTGTCAATGTGTGAGATGTTCATAAAGTCTATAATAGGGGTCAGGGATTTTTTGTTGCAAGTTTGTGATTGCATTGATAAAACATGTGTGAAATATTATTTATAGAACTCCACCCATATAATTGTCACGTTATATGTGTATCACACTTTGCTTATGTTGACGTGGGTTTAGCTTTCTATGTATTAAATACTACGGTCGACCCTCGCTATAACGCACACTAGAATATACTGCGCTAAACAGTGCTAAAACTTTTTAAACAGACAAAAATCTTATTTGCGTTAAAATATCCTTGATAACATTTAGTAAAAACACAAATAAAACCCTTCACTATACGGGAACAACACCATCGGCACCCTTACCTCGCGCTAAGTGTATGTGACATAACCATTGGCTGTGTTTCAATGAGCGATCCATAAATACTATTATTGTTTTGGTTTCTCTCGAGTCGTTTGTATAGGAAATTGAGTTCAAAACTCGCAGTCCTTTGCAAACCGTGTTATTGAGACAAACAGTACAGTGAGAGAGAAAAGTACTTTGACGGTGTCATCCCTTTCCTGTAGCAGTTTGACGACGTGTTGGCCCAGACAACCGCTGGCACCGGTCACCAGAACCACCTGTTTGGCCACGGAATCGGACATTTTGTGTCAAATTGTGTTTTTTCAATCGATAGACACAAATCTGATAAAAAACGGAAATATTATGAAAACTTTTCCTTAAGTGATTTTATTACACAATATGTTTTTCGCTAATAATTTATTAATTAGCGATTTGTATGTTTTAATGAATGAAAATAAATGTCTCACTCGAGTAACTCGCTGTTTGAAAAATAAGTTCAAATGAATGTATGATAAAGTGTTTTAGTGTCAACTTAATTGACACAAACACTATTGAATTGACTCAACAGTAGGTGTTTCGCGAAATATTATGAGTTTTAAGTTGAAAAAAGTTTTTTTTGAGTCACTTGTTGTGTATGTTATGAATATTGGAAAATGAATGCAAAACTTTTTTTGTCCAAACACTTGCCGTTAATGTAAAACCGCACCGAAAGCCTTGACAGACACTCGTAGAAAACTTTTACAACAAAAAACTTATTAGTCTTAACCTTCAGTCCGATATAGGTTTGTGCCAAAAAATTGGTTCAAATCTATTATACAATTCTTACGTTAGAAATATTAATTAACATTTAGTGTTAGTATATGTTGTTTGTAGTGAACATAACAAATATCATAGAAAAATACAAATTATTATTATTCCCAGTGATGGAGAGAGACACTGTTTTCGCTAATATTATATTTACGAATAAAATAGATAAACATAAATGTTGTTTAAACGCCAAGTTTTTGAGTCGAAAAAATTATATAAACATTTGGATTCAATATTCCGGATATGAATTGGATATGAGTTTTGTCGCAAACAAGGAAAACAGAGTTTCGATAATTAATACGAAAAATATTAATAAATAT